TGGGGGGGGTGGTAAATCACTTTCAATCACTGTTTGAAAACTGAATGAATCAAACTGATACATACATCATCATACCACACATCACGCAAATTAAAATGACTGTTTTTGTGCAAGTGTTGGTAGGTTAGAACAAAAAGAATGGTGATTATATAATTCCTTTAACTGTCTTCACAAAGCTTTTGAGGAAACATACAGATTTTTCTCACTCCCTCTCTCTCCTCAGAACAATTTTGCTTCAAAAAAGTTAACCCATACATTTCTTTCAAAATAAAATCTGCTTCATTCAAAAAAAAAACCCAGATCGTGTGATCAAATTATCTGGTTGCGGGTGCTCCACTGTTTTCTGAACGGTTGATTTCGGTTTTCTTTTGTTTTTTTTTAAAATTAAAAATGAACATTTAACAGGCCACTAAAGACATTGAAAGTTACATGTACAGAGTGGTTACATGGTGCAGCGAATGAGTTATCAAACAACATGATTTAAACAAAAAAAGTCACTCGGCTGATGAATGGATATTTAAAGTCTAAAACAACAGATTATTTCTCGCACTCTCTCTCGCGTTGCAAAGAATAAATCTTTTGAGTTCAGTAGATGGAAGTCTTTTTTGCGTTTTTTTTTCCTTTCAAGAATCCTTTTCAGTACACACTCTCTCAGCAGCTCACCCGACTGGTTTGCTGTTTACAAATAAAGTCAGTCATGAAATCAAACTCATTCTGTCCCAGCCACAGCTCAGGCAGTTCTTTGATGCGATCCAAACCCAGTTCAATCACCAAGGACATGAGGACCTCTTCGTCGATGAAGTCCGTGTCTATGGCATTGGGGGGCAGCATTGCTGCAGACATGTGGTGACTTGGTGGCATTGAAGAGCTATGATGTTTTACTTCCCTGTATTGTTGTTGTTGTTGCTGCTGGTGACCCAAGGCGCTAGCAGGATGCAGGTCCGTCATGCTGTAGTGTTGTTGCTGGTGGCCGTAGTACTGGTTGGTCAGCTTTTGTAAATGCATGCTGGCTGCAAGCTGCGCTGCAGGGCTGCCCCCAGCCACCCCTTGTCCCATATACTGGGGATGGGGAGGATGGGAGTGATGTTGTTGTTGTTGTTGCTGCCTAGATGTGTACCTGATGTTGGGGGGCACGTTATTCAGATGACCAACTGGACCCCCTTGCCTGCCGCCAGGGACTAATGCATGCCTCAAGCCGCCGCTGGAGGAGTTCACGTTGCTGGGTCCGGGGTAATGCAGCAAGGAGGTAGCGGCAGGGTGCTCACTCATCAAGCCGCTGTAGGCGTGCTGGTGCTGGGGGTAAGGGTTCAGGCTCATCCGGCGGACGTGGAGCCCGCTATGCCCCTCCGGGAAACGTCCGTGGCTCATCATACGCTCGGCCATCGCCCCGTCCAACTTGAATGCAGAGAGGGGAGGGGGTGGGAAATAAATAAATGCACTCGTGAATGAAAGAAGGCAAGATAACAACAACTGCAGAATATATGGAAGAATGCAAACTGGACAGCTCGCAACTCCATGAATTCTCCCATGAGCAACTTTATCCAAACCTTTTGTAAAGCCAAGACTGAAAAAAATATACAATTTGCAACTTACCTCTTTTGCAACAAATGCACTTTCTCTCCTCCTCTGCTTTCTCACTGATCTCTGGGCAAAGAAAGAGAATAATATTGATTATTCTGCTTTCCTGCCTTTGCACATTCACAAACTCTCTACGTACAGACTATTCTCAGCCGCACTCTTCCTTATGCCTCTCTTTCTCTCTCTCTCTCTCTCTCTCTCTATATGTTCGTGCTGCTAAGCTAGAGGATCAGACGCCGCAAACTCCTAACGATTAACCAACAAAAGATGTTCACTCGGCTGCCTCGGCCACTCTTAATATAGGGCTCCTGAGGCCAGACTCAACACCCGGCACAGACTTTCTCTGGAATGTGGATCTGGATCAGGAAGTCAAACCGAATTCCAGGCGCCAGAACCTCCTCTTTCACTCACGTAACTATTGCAGAACAGGGAAATGCCAAAGAACATTAAAAAATAAAGATGTATAACGCAGCAACAGATTCGTTCATATAAAAAAAGCTGCAGATGCAGGAGCAAATTACTGCAGATGCTGGAATCTATACTGAATACAAAAAATGCTAGAAACCACAGTGGGTCGGGCAGCATCTTCACTTCAACTCTGGTGAAGATTCATCTAGACTGGGAACATTAGCTTGCTATCTCTCTCCATGGATGCTGTTTGACCCGCTGTGATTTTCAGCAATTTTTGTTTCCAGTGAAGAACTGCAGTTGCTTGGAATCTGAAGCAAAAACAGAAATTGCTGGAGAAGCTGTGGAGAGAGAAACAGAGTTAACGTTTTGAGGCCAGCGACTGTGCTTCAGATCAGGCTGGTTGTACAAAATGCATTATTTGTATCGTCTATCCATGACGTTATCAAGTATTTAATAGGAGAAAGTGCAGGAGGAACTCACACAAACAGAAATTGTTGGAGAAACTCAGCAGGTCTGGCAACATCTGTAGAGAGAGAAAGCAGAGTTGACATCCTACGTCTCATGTAAGCCTTCTTCAGAAATGAACTTTTGGAGTTCTGAAAAAGACCATTGGATCATAAGAAATGTGAACAGGCATAGGCCATTCAGACCTACAAGCCTACTTGGCCATTCACTGGGATCATGGTTGATCTGACATCCCTCATGTCTACTTTCCTGCCTTTCCCCCGTATCCCTTAATTTCCTGACTGATCATGAATCTATCCATCTCAGCCTCAAACAGAAACAGAAATTGCTGGAGAAACTCAGCAAGTCTGGTGGCATTTGTAGAGAGAAAGCAGAGTTAACATTTTGAGTCCTTTTCAAACCCTTGTTCCAGATTTCCAGCATTCTCAGTATTTTGCTTTTGTTTTATGCGATATTTAATAGTTTTTTTTTAAAAGGTTTTTGCCTGATTAAGAGAGGAAAAAAACGACCAATTTGCATTTCCACATCACTACCATCCGGAAAGATTGAAGCTCTCCCTCCCTCTGATCCTTCACTCCCTTTCATTTCCTTTAGTGTCTTGCAGGTTTCCTGTGCTACAAAAAGAAAGAATTGAATTTATGTAGGAACCTTCACAACCGACAGAGATCCTGAAGCGCTTTACAGCCAACGAAGATCTTTTTAAAAGTGTAGTTGCTGTTGTAATGTAGAGAAGGTGGCAGCTAATTTCTGCGCAGCAAGCTCCCAGAAACAGATAATGACCATGTAGTCTGTCTCAATGATGTTGATTGAAGGATGATTATGGCCCAGGACACCAGGGAGAACTGCTTTCCTTCAAAATAGCACTATGGGATCTTTAACATCCTCCCCAACAGTGTACCAGTTTAATACCTCATCTGAAACATGAACCTGTAGCAGTGAAGTGCTCTGTCCATACTCCATTGGGACTATCAGCCAAGACATTGTAATCAAAGCCTAGGAGAGGGACTTGAACGCACAATGTTCCTGACTCAGCAGCTAACTTAACTGAACCCCAGCTGACACACTGACTGCACGCTTCCCCAAGCCTTTCATCAGCTGGCCTCTTCGTACCTAAGATGGCACCCTAAGTAGTGACTTGTAAACTTTCATTGTACTTATCTGAGTACATGTGACAATAATTCTAATCCTAATTCTAACAGAATGATTTTCAATTTAACTGTCAAGCCCCACTTGACATTCTTGTGGTGGGACAAAAGCTCAGAGCTCAAATCCAACCTCAGGACCTAATGGGTTACAGAACATGGGCCATAATGTGACCAATACAGGCCGATTACCAATCTGGAAATCCTTCTGATTTGGCAGACACTAAGGTGGGGACAAACGTCCTGGTCAACCAGAACCATTGGCAGGCGCAGTGTAGGAGCCTTGCTGCGTTAAAACACTCCATGTACAGGTACCTGCCATGTGTGGTCACTGTCGTCATTTTGTGGGACTAACAAACACACACACACACATGCACCCACCTGCACACACCCACCCACGCAAAGGCACACTCACCCACCCACACACACACACACACACACCACACACACACATATACACATGCACACTCACCCACCTGCACACACCCACCCACACACACACACGCACACTCACTCACCTGCACACACCCACCCACGCACACGCATACTCACCCACCCACACACACACACACATACACCACACACACACACATACATACATGCACACACACACACACACACACACACCTATACACACACACACAAACACACCTATACACACAGACACACACACTCCCCACCCACTTCTCTTTTTCTCACCCAATATTGTACAGACCTGCACCGGCCAGTATGGGAGTCACTGGATTGTTGCGCTCCCCCACCCTCACACCTACATCGATACTAAAACCAGTTACACAGACCCAGCTGACTCAGGTGTGGCACCGACCTGGTCATCACCTCAGTCAATATAACGCACTTGGGCACTGACAGAAACTCATATCTTTAAATGGCCATCACCGTTATGAGGTTTCACCCTTGAGACTTTTATTCTGTTTTTTGTGAATTGATTAACAGTCTTGAGCAAGAATCTGCTCTCAGTGTTATTTTGTTAGCAGGACAGCATGATACAGTTTAATATATAGCAATGATTTTGCTTGATTCTTAAAAGTATGCCGCGTAGGAAAGCAGGTTTATACTCAATACTGGCCTGTCATTTCTATTTATAATCAGCAAGTAGCTCTACTGGCTATTTTGAGCAATTTCCATTTTTATTTCAGTTTTTTTTAACATTTGGAATGTTCTCTTTTTAACTCATTATGGATAATTTGAATAAAAAAACCATCTCTCTGTTAAGATAATCATTTTAGAGGGAACATAATGGTCCCAGTCAGACCTCATTACAGATGGATCATACGCTGTACCTTGCTGCTCCTTTGGTAATTTGAAGAAAATAATTATTTTTTGAATTATCACTGACTATTGCAAATTAATTAATCGTTCTTATTGAACACAGTTGCATTGAATCTTAAAGGAAAATTGTACTGTCATGGATCATTGTAACTGAGAAAACATTAAACCTAATATTTTTTAAAATTGCAATTTGCTTGTATCATTTGTGACCACAGGAGGTCCCTAGGTGCTTTACAGCCTGAGAAGTACATTTTGAAGTGCAGTTGCTATTACAATTTAGGAAATGCAGCAACCATTTGTGCATAGCAAGCTCCCACAAACCGCAATGTGAAAACGACCAGATAATCTGTTTTTAGTGACTCAGAACAAATATTGATCGGGGCATTGGGAAGAACTTGAAACAAACACGGGAAATGCTGCAGAAACTCACCAGATCAAGCAGCATCTGTGGAGGGAGAAACAGAGTGAACATTTTAAGTCTAGAATGACTTCTTCTGAATGCTGAATAAAGATGGAATTAATTCAGTTTTGAAGAAGTCATACCTGATTCAAAATGCTCACTCTGTTTCTCCATACATGCCAGACCTGCTGAGTTCTCCAACATTCTCTGTGTTTGTTTCAGATTTCTAGTATCTGCAGCATTTTGCTTTTACTGGGGAGAATGTACCTGCTTGTCCCTTGCCGACTTGTAAGTGGAAAAGGCTTTGGTTTACATCTTATCTTAAATACAGCACTCCTGACAGCGTGCACTTCCTCTATACTGTACTGATGCATCGACATTGAATTTCGTGCTCAGTGTCTGAACTCACAAAATTCTGACTCAGAACGCTGAGGGTGGAGTGTGGCGCTGGAACACAGAACATAGGAGGAGGGCTAGAAAGCTGGGGGAAGGAATACTAGAAGCAGGAATACATTCTTGCTCAGGTCTGGTGCATTGGTGACAATGACCTTCAAGCACGGTAGGTTTTTGTGAGAGAGTGAGCTGTTGTTGGATGATGAGGGAGGGAGCTAATCAGGGAAACAAGGAGGGCTTTAGATGAGATAGAACTGCCAAAGCTGGAGTCTGAGGTAACAAGATGTGGAGCTGGCGGAACACAGCAGGCCAAGCAGCATCAGAGGAGTCGGGACCCTTCTTCAGAAATGGGCTTTAGCTGAGGCATGACTGTCAAAAGGGACTGCTGGAAGAACACTGTCGTAAGCTTTGTATGAGCTGTTGGGAGAGGACACATCCTGAGAGAAACACAGCCAGAGTAAATGGGTGTTTCTGGGAATTTGGAGCACAGTGGGAATTTGGAGAGGGGAAGAGGTGATTCTTTTGCTTTATTTGTGGTTTATAGTAAGGACTGTATTCCATTGGAGGTGGAACAGTGGCTCAGTGGTTAGCACTGCTGCCTCACAGCACCAGGGACCCAGGTTCGATTCCATCTTTGGGTGAATGTCTGTGTGGAGTTTGTACCTTCTCCTCGTGTCTGCGTGGGTTTCCTCCGGGTGCTCCGGTTTCCTCCTGCAATCCAAAGATGTGCAGGTTAGGTGGATTGGCCATGGGAAATGCAGGGTTATAGGTTGGGTGATCCTAAGAGAGTCAATGTGGACTTGATGGGCTGAATGGCCTGCTTCCACACTGTAGGGAATCTATGATTCTATAATAGCAAGGATTAAGGGCCTCTGAGTAATTCATATTATTTGAAATTAAGCATCTTCCAAAAGGATTAATTTGAAAAGTGTAAGTCATGCAGGAGAGCTCAAATACATGGTGTGCTCTTCCTGATCTATATGGGAAGGCAGGATCGTTTCCAGTCCTCAGGACCAGCATGTTGCAGCAAGTGAGTCCAGTTCCAATGCCTGGAAGCTCAGACTTTGGAGCTGGGAGACACTGTGGAGCATTCACAGGGCAGGAAGTGTGGTGGAGAGCATGTATAGAGATGTGGTCATGCCGAAGGCTAAGACTCCACAGGCAGGAAGGGGCTGGGTAACCACCAGGCCAAGTAAGAGGATCAGGCAG